TAATAAAAAATATAATATAATAATATAACATAATATAATGTATAAGACATTTTTTATTATTACCTTGAACGTTTTACATACGAATGAAATTAAGCATATGACACAGCCTTAGAGGAACCACTTACTAAATGGCGCCTCCTGTGGCAGCCTGTGTGGGTTGGGAAACAAATAAAGGACTTTAATTATTATTTTCTTTTTAAAGTAATCCATATGTGTTTATCTTTTTTTTTTTTACATTGTTCAGATTTGAATGGATGGGCTGCATACGGTAAATGACATTTGGTAGGATGTGGGCCAGGAGTGTAGGATGTCTAAACAGGGTAGGTCTTCAAGTCTGGACCAGAGCCTGACTGACCAGCTGTGTCATCGTCAACGTGTGTGTGTGTTTAATATCAGTGTCCTGGGTGAGTGAACTCTTCCTGCTGCTCTGAGTCACACTCCTAATAACAAACAGATAAATTGCATATCTCCTCTCTAATGACCAGGTTGCTATGGAAACCAGGTTAACATTTCAAAGCACTTGATGGTGACACAAAAAGGCTTCACTTTGCACTCTAATTAAATTTGCGTGGCTCCCTCAGACGACCCCATGAAAATCCAGGCTCCTACCTGAGGTACCGTGCAGTTTTCTGTAAGACACCACAGATCTCAGTGTCGTACGACTGGTGAAGAACAGTGTTCTTTGTATCGTGGTAGTTACTGAAACTGGCGTAATATAGACCACCCCACCTGGAATCGTTTTCTCAAACCACCACTGGTATTTGCACATGGTTTGGACCTGAGCTGAGGCCGACGGTCAGCTCACAGTAAAGAACCACGGTGTTGACTTGGGCTCTTTTTCTCACCCTAATTTCTTCTTCTTCTCTGCTCTCCCGCATCTGTCCTGAAAGCCTCCTACAGCAGCTTTATGGTCAGATCGATCCGCCCTCCGAGGTACTAAACTGGGTCTTTTTTATTTTTTTCTTTCAGCTTGAAAGAACCTTGAAAAAGTGTTTTGATTCACAGCAGGACAGCGATAGTCAACTCCTCCGTAGTGGCGATGTGATCATTAATGGTGCGCTAAACCCTGAGGTCAGTCTCGTCTCCTGCTGTCAGGGGAGGTTAAGTCTGGAGGGAGTAATATGTTCACAAAGCTGTGCCCCATTACCCACCTGTCTGCAGAGGAAGACCAATAGCTTTTACATCACCTTCTATTCCTTCAACATTCACACCCGGCCCTGTGTCGGTGTCTATCACGGCGTCATCACCTCATAAACTGCCCGCCGGGCTGTTGGGGATTAGAGATATTTCAGCTTCAACACCTCTGCGTTTTTTTTTTCCAGTCCTTATGGTAAAAAATAAATTGTTTTGTATCTGGAGGCAACACGTTGCAGGAGTTCTCTCATTAACCTTGTCATGCCAAACGAGACGGCTGACGGGAGAACACTGCACAGCCAGCTGCTGGGATTAGAATAGAAACTGTCACAAGGAAAACAATCAAAGAATTAAAGGAGGGGGAAAAAAAGCACAGATGTCACGTTGTAGAATTTTCTTCTTTCTACGCTACTTAGGTTACCCTATAGGGCGTTGTTTCCCAAAGACTGGGTCGCAACCCTCAGGTGGGTCGCAGAGGGGGGGTTTTTTCGGTCGTCTCGCATCATGTTTCCCAGGAGTTTACGAATAATGTCTGTTGACTTTGGTCGCAAAGGTTTGTGACTTTTAAAATATGGGTCCCCAGAAAAAAGTTTTGGGAAACACTGCTATAGGATACTCTCTATATATTCATATATAGGGTGTATATTGAAGCCAATAATATTATCAGCCAATATTAGCATAATTATGTGACATAGGTGAGAATTTTTTTTCCCTCCAATACTGAAAACCAGATAACACAACTTCTGGATTTTTCCAGATGATGTAACCTAAAAACAGTTTTGAAGTGAAAGTGAAAGTGAATCATTGTCATTGTGACACACAATTACAACATGACCTCTGCCTTTAAAACACACAGCTGCATATACTGGCAAAAAGTTAAGTGACACAAACAGCTGCATATACTGGCAAAAAGTTAATATCCGACAACCCTTTATTGGTGCGTCTATATTGTTGATATTTACAAAATGTACAGTATTAGGCCAATGATACTATAGGCTGAGTATCAGGATTTCCCAGCAGTCAGTTGAAACTAAAGTCCAGTTTTCTTCGTCTTAACTTCTTAGAATAAAAATAACCTGGCTGACTTTCAATTCAGATGTTGTTCTAGTGATTTTCCTTTGTTACACTGCCAACAGTGAGTTTGAAATATTAAATTAAAGTTTTTTTAAAAACAATTTATGTGTTACATTGACTGGGATTAGTTTCCTGTCAAATTAAAATGACTGTTTGAAAATTTATGTTGATTTTATGATCAAATCCCTGAAGTGTTGTGACAACTTTTTTTTTTTAGCTTCTGAAGTTAGGGCACATTTATGAAGGATCTTTCAAATATAATGAAATCCAATAATAACGGTGCATTAATGCCCGTGAAGAGTCAGTTCTGACGCAGACAGTTTGAAGGCTGCTGCCACCGTGGGAGAAGGGAAACAAGCCGACGTACCCAAAATACAAATTTCTCACCGCTCAACAGGCTTTGTTGCGACAGATTGTCACCACGGGGTTCTTGCTGGAATATTTCAGCGCACAGAGGAGAGTGGGTCTCTGTCCGCCTCGACTGCCAGCGACAAGTCCACTCAAGATGAGGCTTTGTGGAGAGCTGTGTGAAATTTGAGATGACATAGAGAGGCTTTAGGGGCCGTGGACGGCTGAAAAAAAAATCATCCTCAGGCATAAATCCTCCAGACTGGAAATCCTGTCTACCACTTGGCTAAGCTGGAAAAACTGCCGTCGTAGACACTCCATTCACTTTGAACAGAAAATCCTTTCATGTTCAGGTCAAAATATAAATAAATTAAAAAAAAATTTCTTTAGGTAGTTTAATATTTTACACTTCCATGCTTCACAGATACGTGACTAAAATATACCTTTGTGATGAAGATAAATACATCAGAAAATATATGCTTTTGTTAAATGATTCACTAAATATATATTCAAGCCCTTTAATAGTTATTCAAATATATGAAACCATCGTAAAAATGTCTAGAAAAGTGTTTGATTTTAGAGATGAATAATTAATCATGTAGAACTGAGCCATTTTTTTAAGGACAAAACGATCTTCATTACACTGACCTAATTCGGTGTTTCCCAAAGTAGGGGGCTAGTTCCCTACGGAGGGTGCAGGGCTATTGCAGGAGGACGAGACAAAGAAAGGACACTAAGATGGTTCTCAATTTAAATATTTACTCCTGTTTTTACCACAGTATTCAAATTGAACTGATTTGTAAAGTTGATGTTTTGGTTCAGTGCGAATCGAACTAAAGAGCTGTCGAGTTTTAAAGTAAATCGGCATCACATACAGGCCTTGGAAGAAGAAGAAGAAGAAAAACTGGTCTTGTCAGTTTTTCTGGTCACTGTCACATAGACGGACATTACTGTCCATGTGATAATGTGGGTCCTTACTGTTAACTGTGTAATTACTCTGGGGGATTTTTGATACTTCCTCTGAACACCACAGCAGCCAGGATTCTGCTGGTCGGTAACGACGACGACCCTTTTTCCACCGCACCAACCGCTTCCCTGACTTGGCCCTTTTAAATATCCCAGATGTGAAATCGAAGACCGAACCACTTTGAATTCCTCCTGTTATTTAAGGAAACATAAGGACATATATATATATATATACCTGTTATTTAAGGAAACATAAGGACACGCATATATATATAAATATAACATAAGGAAAAAGGAAACTATGTGGTCTCTGGTAGAAACCTGTTGTTTTACATCAAATTCCTGCTACTATATTTAAACAAAGGCATGTAGTATATAAATATTTGGGGGAAAAAAGTGGCATTATTGATTGAGGTTCCATTCTCAAAATGTCTTTGCAAGTATTATGCAACATTCCTGTTGTGTTTTTGTAAAAAAAAACATTTGAACATTAGTATAATAAACATGGACAAATTCTTAAAAACATTTGAACAATAGTATAATAAACATGGACAAATTCTTACTTTAAAAAATGAAATGATCACACACCAGGTACTGTTGGAGCCGGTTCACTGGTGGGGTCAGTGCTGGTCGAGTCTAGTTGTGATTCAGAGTCAAACAAGTCGATTCAGTTTAAAATAAATAAATAAAATAACAATCACTGCGCCTTAAAGCTGTTTACTGCTGCAGTGACCAGTGTTCACGGATCCTCTCAGAGGCTCTCTCCTCACATTTGAGTTATTTCAAATAAATCATAGCCGTCACTGTGGGGAAAAGTACACTCCAGTGAAATTTACAGAATTTAATTAAATCTCAGGGTGTGGAAAAGTCCCCAAAGTATCAGCTGCTGAACTTTATTTACTTTAGATCGAGAACAGAGCGACTCTGGCAGGCGTCCCAAATGCCACACACACACACACACACACACACAGTACCGTGTCTTCTGTTAGCTTGTCAGCATTTGTGAATTGTTGCACAGGAATACAAATGGACGTGACCTTTGTCTTTTGATATGTTTCATATCAAATCATATTCTCATATATGACACTGATTATTTAATTCCCAGTCTTTTGTCGGAGCGATTCATTTCACCTACAAGCAATTATTCCCCGCGTATGTGTGTGTGTGTGTGTGAAAAAGTGTGAGTGTGAGACTGCACTTGAATTATGTTTACATTACAATTCTCTGCTTCTCTCATATCTCGGTGGATCTGCAGCCTAATGGAGGTTACTGTAATATTTATGAAGCGCATCACCCCATGGTCTTGGCACACTGTGCCCTGGCTTATGAAAAAAGAACAGGAGCATTTGAAAAATCATGTTCTAATGCCTTCTCTCCTTCTCTCTCCTCTCCTTGTCCTCTGTCACCTTGGTGATGACCATATGTCTGTCCATATTGTGTGTTTCTTCGTTCGTCGTCCCCCATGGCTCGCCCACCAGACGCTACTTTGAGCCTCCTGCTCGGCCTGTTTGTGGTCTGCGGCCTGGCTCTGTTGGGCCTCCTCACGTTCATCTCCTGGAAGCTGTGCTCCGTACATCTGCAGACCAAGGCCCGCTTCCAGAGTCCGTCTCTGAGCCTGGCCCCTGGCCCAGAGCAGTGCCCGCTCCAGCCACCGCTGTCACCGCCCAGCTCCCAGCAGCCGGCGGTCACCATGGCGACAGAGAAGGTGAAAGACCCGATGAACTCCATGGGTTTCTTGGAGGCGGCGGTGAAGATAAGCCATACATCTCCCGACATCCCCACCGATGTGCAGCTCTCCATGAGGGAGCACTTCCTGCGTCGCACGCAACGCATGCAGAGACAAACCACCGAGCCGGCTTCCTCCACTCGGTTAGTCACAGTCACCCTGTGTGTGTGTGTGTGCTGTGTGATGTGTTTATTCATGTGTAAATACGCTCCGAGTTACACAGATACAAACATGCACGCGTGCACATGTCAGAACAGATCCAGGAACAGGCCGTGTCACATGTATTCTGCAGAAACCGCAGTTTCTTTCAACGATAACGGCTGAGACTTTGGTTCTGGGCCGTTCGGCGCCTACAAAGTTAATTACTTGAGTCGTTGCGCTCTCACCCCACAGGCATTTCTCATCTCTTTGCAGCTCATGATGGTAAAGCTAATTGTATGTGATGGCTTCTTCATGAGTGTTAATGAAAAATAAAGGAGGAGAATCGTTTGCTTTTGCATTACCAACAGAACGCTTTGTTTCATCAGCCTGATTGTTAAAAGTCAGCACTTTACTCTGAGCACATGCTTAGAATAAACGGTCGACCAAAGTTAACTCACAGCAATTTCCCCCGGAGTGGAAATTCTCATTAAAATTCAATCACAAACATTAATAATTGTTTTTTTTATCCTCACTTCATCTGCTTGGTTTAAACAGTTGAAACACGGAGACATAAAGAAACAAAGATACACAGAGAGACTGTAGGAATACTGAGGTTTTCCACACGAACACATGACGACATGATTGGTTTTTGTGATTGACCGTGGGATGGCACAGGGTTTGGAATAAAAACCAGTCTGTTTGACCTTGTTGATGAATCATTAAAACAAGAGGGTGTAATAAAAACCTTTGGAAGAATATAGAAAATCAAAACCTGTTGCAAACCTTCAAAAATTCAGTTGAGTTTATCCTGATACATTGATTTCGAACTTTTGAAGTTTGAAAAAAGCCTGACAAAGACATACGTGAACCTGTCAAAGTTGTTGGAGTTTTGACATCAGCTTTGAACTGTATAACCTCTCTCTTAAACCTTTTCAGTTTTTCACGTAATAACCAACAACTTGACTTACAACCCCAGGTTGAACCCATCTGAACTATCTAAACTCAACAAACCAACCCTATAAAAGTCGCTGCGAGCCGATCAACAGCTGAGTCGAGAGGCGACAGGTGATTTGTTGGAGAGCAGAAGTTTGTTCTTGGACCAGTTAGGAGAACAGAAGAAGCCGTCACTGCTGTAATTGCAGCTCATTAGTCCAGAGACAGACAGTTGACTGTCAGCTAGTCACAGCTGGACACTTTAAAACCATGTACTTAAAGGATTTACATGAGGCTACATTCAGCATAAAAACAGTCTCAATTTACTTCCAAATAATTGAGCCAACAGTGGCCATCGCTCGTCTCGGTTAAATTGCACCTTCAACAGCTGTGAGCAGACACAATCTGTCGCCCTGTCAGAACTCCCCGCTCCTTAAATACAGTTTCCCTGCAACACTAACCATTGCTTTCTGCTGTCTGCCTTCTTCTGTCCCCGCAGGCACAACTCTTTCAAAAGACACCTGCCCAGACAGATGCAGGTGAGCAGTCTAGACCTGGGAAATGACTACATGGTGGACAAGGAAGAAAAGCCAACCAGCATTGGTCGCATCCAGCCGGAGCTGTACCAACAGAAGGCCGTGGAATCGGAAGATTCCTCCAAGAACAGCAACAAAAACTGTGGCACAATAAACTTCTCTCTCAAGTACGACTACGAGAACGAGGCCCTGTTCGTCACTATCCTCAAAGCGGTCGATCTTCCTGCCAAGGACTTATGCGGCACGTCTGACCCTTACGTGAAGGTCTACCTGCTGCCAGATCGCAAGAAGTTTCAGACCCGCGTACACCGGAAAACTCTCAACCCCACGTTCAACGAGAGCTTCCAGTTTCCCGTGGCTTACGATGAGCTGGGCGCCAGGAAGCTCCACATGAGCGTCTTTGACTTTGATCGCTTTTCCCGGCACGACATGATCGGGGAGGTGGTGCTCGACAATTTGTTCGAGACGTCGGATCTCTCCAGGGAGACCAACATATGGAGGGACATCCAATATGCCACCAGTGTAAGGATCTATTGGCTTTTCTCTCAGATTCAGTATTGAATAACAAAGAGTGCTGTGACCTAACTGTGTTACTAACTCTCAGATCCATACAGACTCTGTTAGTTACAATATCCACGTAGTATTCACGACATCAAGCTGCTGTAGCGTTTTACACGACATATTTAGATGTTCTACCTTCAAATTCTGACTAAAAGGCCATTTTGTTGGATATTCAAACCAGGGCCACACAGTAATAAAGGGTTTGGGCCAAATAGTCTTAAAATGTCCAACAAGTATTTATATAAAAAAAATCACAACTCCAAAAATATTATTTTAATGTTTAGATGTTGAGGTCTTCAAAGTCCAGTAAAGTCAGTCTGTAGCGAAACAAAACTTTCCCGATGCATCAGTCAGAAAAGTCACGGAGTTTCACAACCATATGTTTCACAGCACAAAAACCATAACGTTGACATCTGCGACACAGAAGGACGTTTGTGTCTCACCACGCACTCGTGTAATCGTTCTCTCTGTTCTGCATTGTTACTTGTTGACGTTCAGGGACTCATTTTGGGAACTTGTCGTGCCCCGTGTAATAGGCACCACGCTTGGCCCCCTGTCGTGCTCGTCACTTCGCCGCCTCCTCAGTGCTCCTCCGTCAGACACTTCATCTCATCCAGTGGTTGAACTTGAGCTCCTTCTAGGATTGTTCAATAGTCTCGACGTTATTGCTTAGGAGGCAAAACAAAAAAAGCGGTGGAGCTCTCCCTGGCACGCAAACTTTATTGAACCTCCAAATGATTTTATGACAAAACCTCCTTGCTCACATTAAATTCAAGATTGCCAGCATAAAGAATGCACAGATGGCAGGAGTTTAGCGGAAACAAAAAACGAACCTGGAGTGGTGCGAAGCGACAGTATCCGTTAGGATAAAGGCACGACTTTAACAAGAGCGTGCGGCTTAATGACTCCACAGATTGAACACGGGGGAGTAAACAACAGGCGGTTTTCCTCAGCTCGTAGATCAAACAGATATTCATCAATACCATCCGCATCGGATAAAGGTTGTGTAGGAGAACAGTTATCGACTCTTCAGAGTTTCTCACGCCGCGGTTTAATTTTAGCACGCACGTTTTGTGACGTTGACTTATCGTGATCACAAACGAATCACCGACAAAAATTATGCTATACGGTGTATATATTTGTGTGTATGTGTATATTTGTATATAGCAGGGGTGTCAAACATAAGGCCCGTGGATTCTGAAAATAAGAAAAATACACCAACACTTAATGTTAAAGATATTTTTTGTAAAATTATATTATCATTAATTATGAATAAATACCAATAGATATCTAATATATTTGTACTACAATAAATGAAAACAAAAGGCAAAATATATAGGGATATATAGAAAATATATATAAAGGGAAACATGTATATATGTGCGTATGTGTATATACTGTATGTATACATATATATATACATATATTATGTGTATATATTTATGTATACATATATGTATATATTTATATATGTGTATACATCCTTTGTAATGACCTAATTGGATTGATCAATTAAGTGCCCAGTGTACGGTCGTCACCGTTTACACAGCTCGCAGAACAAAGTTGTTGCTGCAGAGGTGATGGCAACAATCCAGAGGACAATCAAAGTGTCACTCCATGCCTTAACAACACCTGACATTTCTGCTGCGCTTTCACATCGTGGCTCTAGCTTCTCCAGCCTTCGAATGAAACCTCTCACTTCCCGAGTTAAATCACTGGGGTACATGTGAGGAGACCGCTGCACTCACACAGGCCTGCTGGGATTTCAACAATCTGCAGGGCTCACACAGAGTGATCAATGGTGTGCGTGACCGTAATTTCATTTTCAAGACGGGGCTAAGAACTCATAAGGGACAGATGACTGGACTCTTATTCCACTTGAGAGTGTTTTCTCAGCAGTGAGTACTACAGGACCTGCCCTACAGAGTATTTTACCTATTTGACGTATCTGTAGAGTTTGTCGAGCAAGTACCACCTCGGAAAATTTAACACAACCACTTTAATATACAGCAGCACAGGACGAAACCTGTGGTTCCTAAAGTTGTCCAACAGCATCCTGCTTTTGTCTGTTTTAAAACTCTTACTGAACTTAATTTGAAACACAATAAAATTTTGTCTGTTTTAAAACTCTACTGAACGTAATTGGAAACACAATAAAATGACATGAAAATACTTTAAGAGACGTTGGGAACCACTGAGCCTATAACAGTATGCAGAGAATTCACTCTAATCCTCACTTTAATTGAAATCCTGTCTCCACAAGGACACATCGTATTGGGGACACTTAAATTGTGAAAGTAGTATCGCATATAATAGTATATATATAGCTAAACGGCTAATAGCTAAACTATAACAGCTACATTTAGCTGCCGTCTTAAGTGATCAAATCTGTTTTGGTTTTATTTCAGCTTCTAAAATGTAAATATCTTTTGGTTCCTTTTTTTCCCCTCAACTGATCCCAATCTAAAAGTCTTTAGTTTGTGGAGGAAGCAATAGTTGGATGAGGATGTTGTAATTTAAAAGTTAAATTGGTAAAAACCGATCTCCTCCTCCCGTCATGTTTATTCATTTGTCTAAAGGGAGAAAAACAAAACACCTAGTTTAGTATTCCATTATAAAAACATAATGGTTTGTGGGAATTCCCAGCTCGATAAGTCGCTCAGCCTTGCATTTAGAATGAACTCAGTCCTGCAGTAAAGATACTCCAGTCCTGGGTACTGTGGGTTCAAGAACTTTCTCCGTTCTCTGCAGTTTGTGACATTTAAATTCTCTGCATCTTTTTGTGGTTGCTGGAATACATGGTCTCAGACAATTAGTTGCAGAAAAAAACTGATAGTCACATTATTTACTGTGTAGAGCTGTCAAACAACCAGAATGTTTAATCAGATTTCTCACAGGGTGACAAATAAATAACACAATTAATCATGATTAAATGTAATAATTCACAATTAATTGTGAGTAAATAAAATTAATCACAAATATTCAGAATTAAACAACATTGAAAATGATTCCACTATTTAATAAGCCTTTGTTGAAAAAATATCTTTTATCTTGGTACTGTAGTATTTTCTGCTTGGTCACAGTAGTACTGAGTCAGCAGCAGCAAAGACACTGCTAGTTTTCCAGGGAGCTGCTGTTGTATTGTGTGATAATAAGAACGCCGGCAGGTGAATTTTTATAGATCACCTCACTGTTCACTGTTAGCATTCTCTGTTGTAGCGTCATCACTTTTTCGTGAACTTAAATGCACACCTGTCATATTTCCCTTCACTCTTCTGGACCAGATTCAGTTTATTTCAGATGGGAAATACATTTAAAAATAAAGAAGCACAAAGATAAGTTGAATTTTTTTCCCCATGTAGCTTTAAAAAAACACTTTGCTCTACTTTTATTCAACTCTCTGGTAAATCATTTTTTAATGACCGACTCTGCTGTAAAAAGAGATAAGTTGAATTTTTTTTCCCCCACGTAGCTTTAAAAAAACACTTTGCTCAACTTTTACTCAACTCTCTGGTAAATCATCTTTTAATGACCGACTCTGCTGTAAAAAGTAATTTCTCTAAAATGGTCCCATTTTGTGGCACTAGCAAATGTAAAGAATCACATGTTGATTCTCCAAAAGCATGCAGCGGCAGAAGGAGGGAAAATCAGGGTCGCTGACCCCTGGCTGGGCCGTGCGAACGTTAATGATTTTGCTTCTCAAAGTTGCCTAGCTACAGGATCTATACAGTCAGAGCAAAGTGCTTTTTTATTAACTGCAAGAAGGTGGTTCCAACAGTGACGGTTTTCAGGGAAGGAACTAAAAGAAAATTAATATATATTCTTGAGCCGCGTTGAAGTATCCTGGAACGGCTAAGGAAGACTGGGAAGAGTCTGATGTTGAGAATGAGCTTCTGGATCTTGAAAAAGAAAACTTCTTAAAGGGGGATACAGTAAACATCAACAGCAGTAGTGTATGTTAACTGAATAAGTATTTTACTGTGTATCTGGTTAGCACAGGATTAAGCCTTTAATGCTAAAGAGATGTTTCCACAGGCAACAACGGACATTTTATCCAGGGTGATGATGCGTTTACTGTCTATGGTGGAAGTAAAAACAAAAGAAACAAAGAACACTCTGCGCCGTTTCAAAAGCTATTTGTCAGTACTGTTCACACTTTGGGAAAATGTTATCCAGTATCTCAGGACCTTGAACAATAGACAGTAAATTGAACGCAGTCCACGATCAGAATGTATCTGTTTTGAATATCACTGTGAGGCTAAAATAAATAATGTGTTTTTTCGCTTTGTGTCTCCACAGGAAAGTGTTGACCTCGGTGAGATCATGTTTTCACTCTGTTACCTGCCCACCGCAGGCAGACTCACACTCACTGTCATCAAGTGCAGGAACCTCAAGGCCATGGACATCACTGGATACTCAGGTAGGTTTGTGTGTGTAATCTTCCTCTACAATAGGGTTTTTTGAGGACCAATTAGAACAGTTACATACTGTTCCACTAGGTGGCAGCAATCAAAGAAAGAAATCTAGAAAGAGAGGCATAATCCTCATGTATGTCTTTCTTCAATTTCTACGACTATATCAGACTTGTGTTCAACTAAACAGGACCAAGTTTCACACTGAGTAATTTTTGAGTAAATTGAAAAAATATCTTTTTGTGTTATTACATGTATTTTTAATAACTTTTTTTTTGCCATTGTGCCAACGGTGTCTCTTATGTAAAAAATTAGTCGTGGCTTAAAACAATACTGGGAAACTCTGATGTACTCTCTGCAATTCTCTGCAAGTGTTAAAATCCACTGTATTTTGCTAGTAATACAGTGAGTAATAGTGCAATTATGGAAGTGTTAAAATCCACTCTATTTTGCTAGTAATACAGTGAGTAATAAGATAATATAAAGGCTAAAGAGCTGCAGTTATCAGTTTGTTTGCTTTCAAACTCTGCTCTTTTTATCCCCTGTTTTCCCTAAAACTCAAATATCTGACATTTATTTTTGCTTTAAATGCCACAGGTTAAATGCTATTTTTTTTCTTCCCATGTTTCCCATGACATTTCCTGATTTTAAAGTAGGTCACTTTTCTTTTTTTTTAATTCCTTGGATTTATGGTGTTGTTGGCTGTCTGCTATTGTTCCAGTCTGTGCATCATAAACCAACAGACACTAAATTGTGCCTTCAAGTGTACTGGGCTGCAGAGACAGCACTACAGTCATATAGACGCGGGCAGTTCACTTTACATTCTGACTGAATCCACGCATATTGGATGAAACAAGGCAATTTGATGGATGGGAGTTGAAATCAAAATTCATCAGGAAGCTTTTACAGTCGTGCTATTTACTCTGTCTGCGGCCTCCCGTCATCACTGTTTACACAGGGCTTCAAGTTATCTACATTTACTGCTCATTACCGACATCAGAGCCTGATGCTGAGGAAAAACGAAAAGCAAAAAGGCAGCAGAGAGCAGTGGACAGGACTGCACACCTTCACTGTGCATGTCAATGATGTTACCACATCCACGCACACAGAGGGAATAATAATTCAGGCTGCGGCTCTGGATGCTGAACAGATTTGCACCTGGACCTCAACATATCACTATGTTTTACTGAAAAAAAAAAAAATACAGTTTTAATACTTAATACATACTGGGATTTTACTGGTGTTTTTACACTTAAGGTATTCAAATAACATTGGAGAAACAACAAGAAACAATGGGTATTGATATAAAAACCTACATTTAAAACACAGTTAAACATAGCCTGATAAAATGAATGAAAACTGACTACGTTTTTACAACAAAGTAATTAACACTTTTACCTGACGTCACTAAGAGTCTAGACTGCATTTTATGCTGAAACACCCACAAGTGATGATGTTTGTAAAACCAAGCCTTGGCCCAATGGTGTAAAATCCTGCTTTTGCAAACTGAACAGAATAGAACAGAGAAGTTTTTGTGGTATTTTTTACAAAAATGAAAATAAAAATAGTAATGATTTAGGTGTCAATCTCAGTGCTAGTTAGCTCGCTAATGGCTGCCATTTCAGCTGCCAATTCATCAACATATAAATGATTACTAAACTCAACTACTGCAACTGTTTTCTTGTGAGTACAAATCAATCGATTTCACTCCTGAACAACCGTCTGGTTACAGATTTGGTAAACACATCTGTGAGGGTTTTGTGTTTACATCGTCGAAGGATGCTAATTATTGGTAGATGTAAAGTAAGATGGTTGATCTGGAGAATATCAAAACAGTCTCTGGGGTCCTGTTTTTTTTTTTTACTCCCTGTTTCTCCCTTCATTAGATCCTTATGTCAAGGTGTCCCTCATATGTGACGGGAGACGTTTGAAAAAGAAGAAGACGAGCATAAAGAAAAACACGTTGAATCCCACCTACAATGAGGCCATTATCTTCGACATCCCACCCGACAGCATGGACCACGTCAGCCTGCACATCTCCGTCATGGACTACGACTTGTACGTAACATACACACATACTTAGCCCATCTCTAGCAGGCAGCAGTTGATAGAACTGGGGGGGGAAGTACATAAAGAAATGCAGTACTGTGCAGTAGTTTTAGGTGGTACATTCGCTACTTTCCCATTCTAAGGTATTTTGAGGAGATCATGAGAAACAGTCACCCTGGGGCATGTGGGGGTAATTCATTTTGCAGTTTAGAACATAAATTCAGTGGTTTTTAGTACCATCCCTAAAAGCTGACAGGACTGCCTCCCAGTGGCTGGGGAATAAGCACTCTGCCCCGGCTAACCAGGTCCAGCATCCTGGACACAAAGCGAGGCTTTGTGTCCATCTTGTTTGCGATATTAGACAGCTGTCTTAATATTATGAAAAACAATACTAAAGTTATCCTTAAAATTGAGGTCATTTCCTTGTTTTTGTTCTGATCAGGGAAAAAAGTCAGTTCAGTGCATGAAGTTGATAGAAAAAGAACACACACATTAAAGGTCAGAATTAAAAGGTCAGGATAAAACCGTCGTCTGAGGACCGATCAGTTCTGCCTAAGATCAGAGACCTGGACGCTGGTGTTTTCTGCTGTGTTATTATCATGAGATTCATTCAGGATGAGCTTCTAATCTGGGGACTCTCTCGAGAGTCTGCTTTCATTTACACCTCAGACGTCGTTAAAAGAGGAAGGATCTGCTTTGAGATGAGTCAATATACAGCAGGTGTTTACGGGAAGCGTCAGCAGAAGTTTAACAATAACGACTGAGAGGACCTGCAGACTCACGACCAGTGTCTCCTGGAACGAGAAAATCTCCTGCACACAACATTTCATGTTTGGAATTTCACGTCAGATTCATTCATGAAGTATTCATAAGTGTTTGTGCCCAAAGGGTTGGTCATAATGAGATCATTGGTGTGATGCGGTTGGGATGCAACGCCGAGGGACTTGGCAGGGACCACTGGAACGAAATGCTGGCCTATCCACGAAAGCCCATTGCACACTGGCACCCCCTGCTGGAGTCCAAAAAATCTGAGAAGGAGGTACTGTTTTGACTTCTGTTATTTCTTGTTTTTGTTTTTATAAATTTCCTGAATTTTGTGCCCAGACTGATTTGCATTGGCAGAGAAACATTTTCCTCATGCAGCAGTGACTAGCATTTTTATTAAGCTGTTTATACAAACACAGGTCAAAACTTGATGATAAATAAATGTTCTATATATCAGCATTTAACACATGATTTTAAAAAGCATAATGTGATTTTCCATTCTTGCACAGAGCATATCTTTTGCTGTTTATTGTCCTAGAAGTCATTCAAAACTACCCTGTTAGCCGTAGCATGAGGTCAGTGAAGTTGTTAACTGATAGCAACATTCAGTGTTGAATTTTCTTCTGATAAAGAGAAAACAGCATTTGAAAATGTAAGCTATTCCCGCTAGCAAACTATTAGCATTGTTTATTTGCCCTCTATGTATCTGAACCTTAATTGCCTTTATTGTTTGGTGTTTATTTTTGTATCAGGCTTCAGCGTTACTGTAGTAATCCTTGAGTTGGTATTAGGGTGTTTAATTTCATCTGTAAAACCATGTTGTTAGCATGTCTCCTCTCTGGACATGTTTTTTCAATGTTGTGACCTGATGGTGACGGTGCTGTAAAAATAAGCAGCGTGTGCCCTATGAATCATTGCCTTGTGTTTCTGTGTCCCGCAGTGGAAGGCGAGGACTGCCAGCTTTGACAGCCAAGGCTCCTGCCCCTCTCCCAGACCTCCCGCCAGTCCATGAGCAGAGCCACCTGTGACCCAGCAGCCCAGAAGGGGGTTTTACTCCCTCCTGCTGATCCACTTCCTGTCTGTCTGATTGAGGAGAAACACATACCTTCCCTCGCTCTTCCTTTCTCTTTCTCCCCTCCCCTCCCCCCCTCTCTCCTCACCTTTCTGTGTCCTCCCTTCCTCAAGTCTAGTTGCACAGCACTTCCAAGAACTGATCCAGGGTCAGCGTCAGTCAGCTAGTTGTTTGAAGCGTGCCGTCTTTTCAGGTTAAAGTGCGTGAGGGTCCGTGATTTGAAATGTGGGCATAGTGGTGACCCAGCGCTGACCCTTGCTGTCCTCAGAGGAGTCTGGCTGAACACACACTTCATTTTGGGCTGGAGAAAATCCAGGCTAAAGCAACCGATCTGTGCCTCCTCACAGGAGACATCCGCCGTGTGCTGCAGAGACCGTTTGATGGGAAAGAAAGAAAGAGGCTGAAGTTCAACCAGGGAACCAAGGACACGTTTGAAGTTCAGAAATAAATTATTTAAAATTAAATATAAAAAAAAAGAACTCTACAGCTCTATTGTGTTTAGTTTTACAGTGCTGTGATGAAAAAAATGGAATCATTATTTGACTGTAGCATTTTGGAGATATTAGATGTAAAACTGCTTCATCAGTCATTCTGTGTGGATGTCGACGCTGAGATGAATCTCGAAGCTCCAGCTGAGCTCCCGTACTTCTGAATTCAACCGTGACAAAAGGCGAAGAATTGAAAGAGAAAAAAAAAAAGAATCGTCCACTTGACATTTTAGATTATTGGTGTTAATAATAGAGCGTTATGTGTCTGAAGTATTATTGATATTTTCATTTTTCAAAACAAGCAGTTAGAAGGTCCAATTGTCCATTAGAGGCACAAAAAGATTATCGATTTTTCTTCTTCTTTAAAGGACAAAGGATGAGATGGAATTCAATATAAAAAAAAAACATGACGCTTTGTCAAAGGAGAACGGGAAAAGTGAGCACACTTTAACACACCCTCACCTCTGTTTGATGTTTTGGAGCAAACTTACCTTCCAAATGCACCATCACTCAGCCCGCTCCAAAAACACTGCTTCTTCCAAATGCATCATCACTCAGCCCGCTCCAAAAACACTGCTCTCTGTTTTTCTAACTTTCTCGGACCAGATTTTGGTGTGTGTGAAGTTTCTTGTACAGTACATTCGGTTCTAACAGAAAATCCATAAATGGTGATAGATTTACAGTAGGATTTCAATATATGTGTAGACGGACTTTGAATTGATGTAGCGCCTTCGGTGGTGATGATGTTGAACAACACGATTTTATCAACTTAGAGTTGCCTCTTCAGCCATAAATTCGAATGATCGCGTGTAGGAGATGATGCCATCCAGATGTTTGACAGGGCAACATGTGGTAAAAGGAATATTTTCAGCTACAAAGCCATGGAAATTATTTTCAACAAAAATGAGCAGCAGCACCAATCAGAGGGGGATAAAACCTGGATTTCTCCCAGTATGTGTGAATGAAAAGGAATAATTTGGCCCAGATTATATAATTTTATTATTATTTTATCCTGATTAATTAATTAATTAATTTAATTTAAATGTGATTATCCCTGTTCTTTCACCTCATGAATCAAATAAGGCCATTCTAATTTTTACAAATCTACAAAAATATATGACAAAAATATGTAACATATAATATAGTTAGACTAACTTCTTTTTTTTTATTCTGGTGTCACTATGCCATGAAAGAGACAAAATACCTTAACAGCGACCCCTAAAGTCAGGAACAGGAAGCTCTTTAAGCCATAAGACTTTTTTTTTTTCAAGGGCTCCCAATGAATTAATGAAATACGGATTAATTTGTACTCACGTCATTGGAATCTCTGATCTGACCTCACCTCGAATTGTGGAATAATCTAAAATATATTAATTAACCTTATGATACGCTCCCTGGTTTCAAGAGCCTGTTTGATTATTGCCCATGTACCCCCTTAGGTCCAGGAACCTCTGGTTTAGAACTAAAATTCTTATTTTCTTTTTTTTCGGCAAACATGAGTTTCAAACAAATTTCACTTTTGTCACGGAATATTTCACAGAACCCCTAACTGGGGACCCACGGACCCCCATGGGTCTTGGATCCCACGGTTGAGAACTTCCATTCTACAAGCCTTGTAGTGTAATCTGGAAGGAATTCCTCTTTTTTTATTCTCCACTAGAAATGTCTTTATTTTAAACTGTTTCCATCTATTTTTATATTATATCATCAGTTAAATTTATTTTGATAAGAAAACACACATAGCCTATATATTTATCATGGGAGTTTGAGTACGCTACATATTCTGTTTGATTTGTTTGTGTGCTTTGGTTTGGCCTGAACAGCAGCCACATGCAGCTTGGATCCAATACTGTAGGTATCCTGTAATGGTAGAACAGTCTGGACCGCTGCTGCGTCGTTCCACATTAGAGGACAAGCGAAAGAACAGGTCCAACAGTCTGTGTCTGTGAAGAGCAGTACAGTACAGACATTATACTACAGAGATTGTGAGACTGTCATTGGCCAGACACCAAGACCAGAGCGGACGCGTTTAGCAGATGAAGAAGTGTCTGTTAAAGTCGTTTCCTCCACGGCTGAGTTTACGCAGAACCAGCTGTTTATTGCACCAGAGTTGGTACAAAGCAGGGATGACAGCGTGGGGGCAGATGATAGGTGAGCGGGTCAGCATCCACGCAGCAATGGCATTTCTCTAATTGGCACTTGTTATCGTGAGAGTGAGTCAGTGCATCATTGTCCGTGCTTGGCGTAATCCATCATGGCAGCCCCTCCGCAGATGTGACGGTTTCAAACTTTACTCTCATTCACACCGTTGACGTCGAGGTGAAATTCCTCCGTGGATTAACGGTGTTTCAAATACATGATTTAATTGTGACGTTTTTCGAACATGTTGATGGTACTGGAGTAATTTCTGTTCCTATTTTGTCAAAAAAAAAAAAAAGAAACCGTGTGCTTTACGATGATGTGCTGTGTTTTCATAGTTGACAAAATCTGTTGAATCAATTGCCTCAGTTTATGAACTGTTCTAAAGACCCTCTAGCTTTGCCTAATATTGTACTGTTTCTTGATATGATCTTGTATCTCTTCTAACTGTTATGATAGCACTAAATTTCCAGTTTTCTATCGATTAATTTTGTATTTGTAAGTACAGAAATGTTTGAAAAATGATTACTCTGGTGACTGACGTGAGTCAGTCCCGGTACCAGACTATCACTATCGTGAGTTCATTTTAGATCCCGGCTCTTTACCAGGTCTAATGAGTGATCCAGTGTGTAATAAAGTCAATCTCAATAGAAGACATGAACCAGTTGTCATCCTTTTGTGTTTTTTGTGGGTCTTATAGTCGCTAACAGGAAATGTTTTTTCCGTTTTTTTTTCCACCATCAGTTCTCTGACATGGATTTTCTTTCCTTTGATTAAAGGATTCATGCAGAATTGGCTTTGTGTTAACAGTTATGCAAAAAAACACACCATTCAATAACAGCACAGCCAGTGGCATAACGAGCACGGGATGGAGGTCGGGGGTCGACGGTAGAGCACAACGGGAATAAGATTCCTACTGAGGCAGAAAGGTGGATTAAATGAGGAGAGGACACAGAGCAGAGAGACTCCAGAGAAGAAGACATTTTGGGGTCATTTTCTAAAAATATCTTCAATTTCATACATTTTTAAAAGGATGAGTTAACTCTATTAACTCGTTAATTCAAGCAGTCCTTATGGTTATGGTTCCACTGCACATTGAGTTTTTATGAGAAGAGCAGTCGAGTTATTGTAGAGTCGTCCTAAGGAAGAATTTTCTACTGACTAGGGATGGCTTGATACAACTTTTTCATGTCTGATATCGATACTACAACTTGGAGTATCTGTTGATACCAATATCAAGCTGATACTTTTTTTTTCTCTTTTCTCTGTTGCTCCTGAAGCGAAAGTGTTCTTGTTTACAGCAGGATCGCACAAAGGGCTTCGGTATCACATCCTGAAATTTTGACCAGTATCAGACTGACTGTCCGACTGGATTGTGCCATTTCTACAATTGACCTGGGCTGACCAGTCATTAACAGGAATTCCATCTTAACCCAATAGCAGATTAGCTTAGCAAATTCAACCATTTATTTTTTTTAAATCAGCACTTTTTGTAGAAATGTACCATTTACCCAATAGGATTACATTATTGTCATTCGTGTATCAGTGTGATGTAGTAGAACCTAATCTACGAAAACAGTTTAGTTTAGATCAAGAGATGTACCATTTACCCAATAGGATTACATTATTGAAAACAGTTTAGTTTAGATCAACAAGACTTGTTCTTACAGTTATTCATTGTGACACTACTGTGACCAGCTGACCCAGGTCTGCTTTGGCTTAACTGCAACAGATATTCAGCCACCTGGGGTGATATGTGCAAAGGCTTTGGAAAACAACAGCACTCTGCTGCAGACTTTCAAACCAGGAGTTTCCTCTTCATGGTCAATCTGTAGATGATTTGATATCCATCGTCCCAGCCGTAGAGTTGTTTCTCCTCAGGGTTGTATTTCAGACTGACGTGAGCTCCGTACCTCCTGGGGAAGTACAGTAGTGGGGCCTCCTCGCTGACCACCACGTCATTGACATCAAACACGCACTGAATCCGTGAGCGGCTCGCCAGGCGAGTATTGTAAACAACGTATAGAGTGCCACAGACCACAAAGGCCGCCTCGGCGTTCTCCCGTGGGCACCCGGTGTCCCAGATTTCCTCGATATCAAGCATAGCTGGGTCCATCTTAGCAAGGTTGATGTTTGGTTCACTGTCACTGGGGGCGTACAAGAGCCAGAGGCCTTCATCATCTGCAGCCAGGTCAGCAACAACCTCAGGGTTCAGGCTGTAAACATGAGCAGGGCTGTCCACGGGGAACATGCTAGAATCTGTCACCGTGCCACTAACTATGTCATATTTGACCACCTGCACATCGGCTCCAGACTCATGTTTAATGCAGTACAAGTAGCCATTATGCACTGCACAGCCAGGGCCAGACCACACGAAGGGCAGACGGATCTGTCGGCTGCCAGTAAGTCCAGCAGAATGTGAAAAGTCCTGCACAGAGTCAAACTGGTGGATAACGTCTCCTGAGGTCCCATTAAAGACGTACACCCTGGATGACCTGGGGTCTCTGGTCCACATCCCTTGGGGACCACCCACTCGCTTCAGGATCTTCACTGATCGGATTCCAGAGATGATTTGTGTACAGTCTGCAGAGGAAGGACAGAGAAAAAAAGACACTAACTTTTCTGATATGACTTTCCAAAATATGACAACTTCCAACCAGCCATGGAAATGTTCAATGTTCAAAACAACCTGTCAGAATAAATGTGTTTTGTGGAAGAGAAGAAAGACCAACACTGTGCTGTCACTGAAACTCACACAGAGAGCATCAGTGTCTCAGATCAAAATTAGAATCATGTTCAGAAATCTCATGTTGCACCACTGTGAGGCTGTTTTTTTGTTTCTTTTTTTTTTGTGCCTTTTATCGAAGGCCGCTGTGCTCAAAACAATGTCATCCGGCATGAGGTTGGATCAAAACACTGCTGACCTCAGGGCAGTTTTCTTTCCCTTTAATTTTGATGAGAAACGAGACCATTCACAAAAACAGTTTATATAATTCTGAGATAAAAGACCATGGATCAAGTTATTAGAGCCACTGAGGGGTGACGTTATTGTTGTAATGCACTAATTAATAATATTTTTTTTAAAAAACAAGCTATTATGAAAACTCTTTTATCAGTGATATTTTAAATGTTGAGTTACTTGCTCTTTTGCACACAGGGTACAGATGGACCATGGTCAACATCACGGAGTTCAGCCAATGAGAACATTTAAGGGTGGGTCTAAGACTGCTGCAGCTCCCACATGAACCGGAGCAGAAAAGAAAGGTTGAAAAGAGAAATTGATTTGCCGCTTCACCACTGTGAGGTTCATTATTAGATTAGGTTATTAATGCAGAAGCTGTTGATAACCTTTAGACACAGAAACACTATAAGCTGTAAGCAGAGCTAAAAAAAAAAAGTAAAATCTGGAGACTATAAAAATGGTGGCTCTGGAAAACATGAGTGTCCAGTGACACCATTAAACCCCTTCCAACAGCACTGTGTTTGTTTCCCTTTTTCCAGAGGTATGGCTTGTTGTCAGGACAGCAGGGGCAGCACTGCAGCGTCTGGTCTAAGGTGAAGAAATGTTACATTTGATTCTCCTCCTGGGGATCTCATGCTGTCTCTCTGCTACCATGAAAGAAAAGATGGATCAAATGGATCAAAAGCCTCCATCCTTCAGGAAGTTTTAGACTAAAGTCGGCCTGTATTTCCTCTGAACTCACCAGAGACTTGGGATCTTATCTCCTCCCAGTCGTTCTCCCCCTCCATCTCTCCTCTGCTCTCCTCCAGACCCCAGACTCCCTGCTCCACCACTTTGTCTGCCTTATTCACACAGGCCCGAGGCGAGGTCTGGATCCCAATGTAGTCCATCTCTCGCTCCACTCGGTCTGCACGGACTGCAGCTCCTTCCATGTCTTTAAAGAGTTCGCTGTGCTCCGTCCTGAGCCCCGCCACAATCTCTGCAGTTAGCTTCTTAAAGTCCTTCGCCTCTGCATGGTAGCGATGAGTTTCTTTATGCCAAAACTGCATGCGGTCCTAAAGAAAACATATGATTAAGTCAGTGAACTTCTTCTTCCTTTCTGAGGCATCAATTCAAGAAAAGGATTAATCAAAGAGTTCTAAGACAGCTTACGAAACTTCCACAAAAAAATGTGTCTTTACAGGCAAGGTGTACCTAATGAAACAATTTTTTAAATTTCCAGTAGTTTGAAACTTCCACAAAAAATGTGTCTTTACAGGAAACAATTTTTTAAATTTCCAGTAGTTTTTAAAAATAAAATACTTCTAGGAGTAGTTTTAAATCACTATACTTTTTACTTTTACTTGAGTAGATTCGTGAAGAAGAAATAGTACTCTTACTCTGCTACATTAGGCTATACTGAGCTATGTTATTTTAATCAGAGATACTGGATAAAGCTTTAGCTATCCATTATCCAGTTACTTTATACATCCGTGATCCAGTATCTCTACTTTTATTTTGTCAGAGAGAGACTTCCGCCCAAAGCTCTACCGCGTGACTGTGTTTAACCTATAAAACGTAGCCCTTGCCGCGCAGCCTGATCACGTGACCATACTCAATCTCAGCCGCGGGACGTGTTTGTTTAGCGGCTACTGCGGTCGATGTCCACCATCTTTGATAGCGAAAAATCGTAGAATCAACGGTCGGAAATGCACACGAAGACGAGGAGGGACACCCCTGGAACTCCACGTACAGTTTACAAACAGTGCGGAACAGCAGTTGCATCATACGGTGTCTTTTGTGTCCAAAACACCCGGATATCTCAGCATTCAAAAACTCAAACACCTGAGAAAATATGTAGCGGTAAGTTTGACCTAAAATCGTTTTTTTTATTATTATTATTATTTATTTTGTAAACATTTATTTAATTATGTTCTCTATTATTTTATTGATGTTTATTACCACTAGTAGTTTTTCCACCAAGTACTTTTTTACTTATTCAAGTTATTATTTGTAGACTACTTTTTACTTCTACTTGAGTAATATTACTCTGAAGTAACAGTACTGTTACTTGAGTACAATTTTCAGCTACTCGACCAACCTCTGCTTAAAACTCACCGAATAGTTAGCATGGAGAAATATTCTGTCATGCTTTGTTTACATTCGCTGGTTGAGGGTCAATTCGATCGAGCTACATTCACTTTCTTCTGTTTGTGTTGTTTAATATTTATTTTTTCCGCCTTTCATTATGGCTACCAGGTGTAAGTCGGAATCTTTTTGGGTTTTTTTATGTTTTTATGTGCTAGATTATGATGTAACCAGTGTGTTGGCGTATGTTAGTGACATAAGAACTTAATAATATGAAAACATGTCGCACCATTGGAGGGCTCCCTGTATTTAGGTCTAAGGCAGGTATTCAGGTGCTTTCTTTTTTTTTTTTTTTTTTTTTTCAACATTAACATTTTGAACTGTGTCAAAACAGCGTCATTTATTTTACATTAGAACCCTGCTGGTCCTACAGTGCTGGCACCAGAGCTAATTACCACAGAGTAATGTTCATAACACTGAACAGAGTTATGTTTCCCGCTCTCGCCACTCTGCTGATGTTGCACTCATCCAGCTGAAACTACACTTGCTATCGTTGTCATTAAGAAGCTGTCAGGGCGCTGACGTCTGCACTTAGAACAAAGCACCTGTGTCTCTTGGTACCAGTCCCAGAAAATAGTGAGCTGCTGCTCATCAAAGTTCTTTTTTTTTATTGGAGATAGGACTCATGCCTGTTTCAATCACAACATCCTCGGCAGATGAACACAGCTCAGGGTTCCTCACTGCTGTGACTGACAGCCGTAAGAGAACGAGAGCGGAATCATCCGGCACAAAATGTAATAACTGCCGTCTCCCCTGCCTCTGATTCTCGCATTCTCCCCGCCTTTTCTTTCACTTCGCCTGTGGTCAAATGGAAATGAAAGCTGGATGTGAAGTTGTTGATGAATTGTTTGGATCAGCACTGAAGTTGAGCCTGTAAATTGAAATGAAAACTGGAGCGGCGGCGGAGAGGGCCGTGATCAAACTCTGCACTCGAGGCCGATTACAATTTTTAGCATTTGATTAAAAAAATATAAGTCGGAGAACAATTGAAAAAATATGTAATTTTTAATATGTAAAAACACATTTGCTTTTCAATAGTGAACGCCTTGTTGTTGTACAGTCTTGACGGCTGTCGAGGCGCCACTGCAGCACAGGTTGGTCTTGTTCTCATTAATGGAGTGTCGTTGTCTTACATGATGAATGCTATGATGTTGTTCAACACAGGCTGCGTGTTGCATGGAAAACAGAGAAGTCTCTGCACGCTCCAGCTGATGTTTCGCTGAGGGGCGTCAGCAGAGTTGATGAGCTGGGCACAGATTGCATTAATTGGAACGCACACTATGTTTAAAGCCTGATGTCGCAATCTAAAGAGGAGCTGGCAGGCATCAGGCATCCTCAAGTGAAGAATACACTACTGTGTTTGGTCATTAGTGTTGAGAGAGAAGAGGTTTGTAAAATCATATTAGTATCAGTGATTTAAAGGTGAGTTTGGTTTTTCTTACCTCAATAGCCAACAGTCTGTTCTCCAGATAATCCATCAGGCCCTGGTAGTAATACTGAGCTCCTGTAAAAGTCCAGGCAGTGGAAACAAGGAGCACAAACACCGGCTTCATTGTGAGCTGATTAATGCAACAGTTCGACTTTTCCGATATGTCCAAGGTTTTTGTTTTTTTTTTCTTTTGCTGCCTCCCCAGAGAGCCTTCTGCTACAACGACCTACAAAACTTTACACATCTATAACAATGAGTGCAAAAAGTTTTTCTTTTAAATAAGTATTGAGGGATGAGTGTCTGTTACTCTGAGTTTCCGATTCCTTCACAGCTCTCTCAGTTTGCTGGAATGTTTTCACAAACTCTCAGGGAGGAGCCTTTTTGCCCCTCGCTGTCCAGAGAGAAGTGAATGTGCTGCACGGAGTCCGTTCACGTTTCTGGGTGTTCTGTGCACATTTGGCACGAGTCTCAGTCGCTCTGCAGTGTTTTAGAAAAAAGATTTTAGCCCAATTAAAAGACAAGACTTTATTGATGTCACAGACAGGACATTTTGGTTGTTTTTTTTTTAAATCTAAAAAATATATTTTTATTATTATAAATTCCTATTTAATTAAATAATTTAAAAAAATTAAAAAAATACATCACACAGTAAGATAAACAAGTAAGTCCTTAATGTTCACCGACATGGAAATTGGAGAAATAATTTTTTAAAAAGCAACATGGCCGAGAAAGTAGTGATACAAACGGATATGAAAGTGACAGGGGCGATAAAGTGGAATATGAGAATAAAATATACATATTGACACATGATGGTATGTACAGCATTTTTAAAACAATTAACACACACACACTGCCACAATGTTCAACAAATTAAAAAAAAAGTTTTATTGCAGCATTCAATGTCATTCGGCCACACGGGGGCAGAGTCGTTAGTAATCGCCACCGTTGCAGTCTGTCCTTCTCTGCCTTTGTGTCTCTGTCATCGTGATGATCAGTCACACCTGCCTCCAGTGATCAGCCTCATCTTCCTCACCTGTTTCCCCTGCGTGGGTTTGTTCTTCGTGTCTGAGCTTTTGTTTCTTGTGTTGTTCTGAATGTGTTTTTCCAGTTAAGAGTCTGATTTAATGGAGTTCAGGTTTTCTGTGTGTGATTTATACCTCTGTTGACACTGAGCAGGGACAGAGTTTAAATGTCCTCCATATGTGTGGATGGACACACTGTCCAAGACGATGCAGGTTGAGGATTAGGTCAGATTAGGAAGGTTAAAAAATATGTATATCACAGTTTTTATTTTTTATGTCTCTGAATAAAACTAGTAGTCAGTTCAAAATTGCAGTGTTCTGCTTCTGTGTGACACACACAAAGCAAATGACCTTAAATCAAAGACATTTCTGTCTTCACAGGACCCCACTGTTGTTAAACCTACCACGGTTTTTGGAACTGACCTCACCCACCTCACCTCTCTCCTCGTTACCCTGACCCACCACCGCCTCAGCACCACACCGACACCTCAGGTTAGTCAATCAGTCTTTGTTGCCTTCATACTGTGTGAACACGGGGGTACAGACTGACTCTACCTGGACCTGGACTCAGACGTGGAGTTCACAGTCAAACAGTTTCAGACTGAGCTCCAGTGACTTTCTGCTGTACTTCTGTGACTTTAACTGTCTCTTTATTCCAGTCATCTGTTTTAATGAGCTTTTTTAAACCTACCACTAGAATTTTGTTCTTGTACATGGTTTTAACCAAAGTGATGCAGCCTCACTGGCTCCCCCACCAAAGTATTTTAAATTGACGTGACTTCAACTCACTTCACTTCTTCTACTGTCTCCATACTGCGGCTGCAGCTTATGTGTTGAGCTTTGATGGATTTTTGGAGAGTTGGAAGTGAATGCCGTGGAGACGCTGCATCGTCATAGGGTCGATGAAGTTTGACCTGAACTCCAGTCAGTCCTGACCTGAACCCAGACCACGGTCTATTTTTATTTCAGCAAACACTGGACCAGACTGTGAGTGTCGTCATGGTAACAAAGTGCCATGTGGCTGCTTTTCAAATTGAAATTAGGTTATTGGGTTTGATCTAATCTGGACCACACGCTCCGTCTGGAACCAGCAGACGGGGGCACTGACAGGCCACTGGCTGTAAAATTGCACCTGTTTTTTCTATTTTTATGCCTCAGAGGCTTTGTTCAATCCCACTTTCTGACTGGTGAGAGAAATGGCAAATCCATTCCCTTCTCTTTTTTTAATCGATTTTTTATTTATATATATATATATATATATTCTTTTTGGAGCTTACGAACTCAGGCTGACTGTGGATTTCTCATCTGTTTTTAATTATCGGCTTCATTTGCACCACAGAGAGGTGCAGTGTGATCAAATGACAACGCATCAATGGCTATTCATTATGCTCTAAGTGCTTTAGCAGGGGTAAAAGAGTGGAATTGATTCATATGTTCGTATTTGTCAGTGTAGAAGAAGTGAAACAATTTATTAAGAAAACACAGACACAGAGAGAGGGAGAGAGACTGTGGCAACTTGAAATAGTTTTTGATTAATAAAAAAGGAAAAACTTAGGGAACATTCGGTCTTTGTGATCACAGTTGGGGTGTGTATTTGTGATCTAGATAATAATTTCTATAATAGCCTATTCATGATAATTGAAATACTAAGATTCAGTAAATATTATGAAATGATTAATTTTTTGTTCCTTTTGTTTGTTTTTAAAATTGTAATTATCGTCTGAATAATTCCCTGTGTTGCGAAAAACGTTTAGTTTTCTCTACAGTCAAATGAATTGTTTCGATAGTCATGCAAAAAACATTTGTTCTGATCCTTTATTATCCACCAGATGGCAGCATTTGGCTTTATGTAAAACTAGCGTTCGTTGTTTTCATTTACTTATCCAGAGTAAGCAGAAGAACCTAGAGTAAATACATTTTCAATCAAAACAAATAATAAAAATCCATATGCTCAACGTATACAAATACTATGATTCACGGTAGCAGTGTAGTACTC